TTTAGAAATCTTTGTTATGATTGTTCCTGACATATGAAAGAATCCTTAAGTGGATGATATTTTGTCCCTGCAAAGGTATTTAAGACACTCTAAAAAATTCACATATTAATCTTAAAAACAAAATGGTCTAAACTCCTCTGAATTTCTCCCTGTGGGGCAGTCCTTTGGCTTTAAACTTTCAATTAAATTAAAAGGTGGAAGATCTCAAGTGGGTTAAGAGTCGGCAATTTACATTAAAAACGTTTGTAGTTATTTTTTCTTTCTTATGCATAAATTATTTTTATAGCCTGATTCCTTGATCTAGTCACATATCCACAAGTAACCAGACAACAGTGCTCTTTATTTTGAAATGTAACATCTTTCAGAGTTTAAATGGAGAAAGAAACATGTTGAAGTAGTGAATAAAGCTCTGGCATTAATACTACTGAGCATGTCTATAGGGTAAGAAAAAGCCCAGTCCCAATTCTCCTCAGCATGCCAAATGTTCACAAGCAGACTCCTCAGTGATGATTTGCATGATCCGAGCTTTACAAACTATAGAAATTGTGTTACTGTATCTCAAAGACTGATAAAGTAACAGAAGGAAAATAAATGAAAGTGCACTTTGTGGCATTAGAAAAATGGAATTTGGAAAATATTTGGCAAAACATGTTCTTTCCCATATCTAATCTTATTTACTTAATGATATTCTGAACTATTGGATGACTAAGTTTTATGAAGAAAGAATATTCATTTAGACTCTAAAGTACAAAAACCCAGCTATACTAGACAGGGGCATAAACAAGGTCGTATGCCAAGAAGTGCAGCAAACCTGTTATCATCTTGTCCTATACCACTCAGTTGTGGTAGGAAAGGAATGAGAGAGGGCAAAATGTTTTCTGTAATTGTCTTTTGTCCCCGCTTTAGCTTTCATACAATTATTTGGAAGAATTATCTTCAGTGTTTAAACTGATAATTTCAAATATGAATAACAATGAACCATACATGAGCTGCTTTAGACATATGGGTACTACAATTCCATCTACTATTTGGATTTCCTCCAGAGGTGGGATAGTGCAAAAACTCATGCAGTCCAACAAGGCCTAGTGCAAGGTCCTGCACCTGGGTTAGGGCAATCCCAAGCACAAATACAGGCTGCGTGGAGAGCAGATTGAGAACAGGCATGAGGAGACAGATCTGGTGATGTTGGTCAATGAGGAGCTCAACATGAGCCGGCTTCAGTGTGCACTCGCAGAACAGAAGTCCAGCCGTATCCTGGGCTGCATCAAAAGGAGCGTGGCCAGCAGGTTGAGAGGGGCCATCCTGCCCCTCTACTCTGCTCTTGTGAGACTTCACTTGGAGTACTGTGTGCAGTTCTGAGGACCCCAGCACAAGAGGGATGTGGACCTGCTTAAGAGAGTCCAGAGCCTTGAAGATGACCAGAGGGCTAGAGCACTTCTCTTATAAGAAAAGGCTGAGTTGGGCTTGTTCAGCCTGGAGAAGAGAAGGCCCAGGGGAAGACCTTAGAGCAGACTTCCAATACCCAGTGGGGATCTACAGAAAATCTGGAGAGGGTCTTTTTACAAGGGCATGTAGCGATAAGAAAAGAGAGAATGGCTTTAAGATGACAGAGGGGAGATTTAGATTAGATATTAGGAAAAAACTTCACTGTGAGGCTGGTGAGGCCCTGGCACAGGTTGCTCAGAGAAGCTGTGGCTGCCCCATCCCTGGCAGTGTTCAAAGCCAGATTGGATAGAGCCTGGGGTGACATGGCTTTGAGCAACATGGTCTAGTGGGATGTGTCCCTGTCCATGGCAGGGGGACTGGAACTAGATGATCTTTAAGGTCCTTTCCAATCCAAAGCTTTCTGTGATTCTATGATTCTATTACTTGTTTGTTTGTTTCGGGTTTTTTGGGTTTGTTTGGTTTGTTTTTTTTTTTTGGTGTGTGGTTTTATTTTTGTTTCGTTTTGATTTTTTCAATATAGCAATATTTGATGCTTGTATTCAATTGCTGTAACTTTCTTATGTATACCGATGTTCTGGGATATGTAACTCTGTCTAGATTCTGCCCTAATTAACTTCAGATTATTGTAAAAACAAAACAAGTATACAACTCCTTGGTTTACATAAGGAAGAACACACTTACTTCCCCTCCCCCCCCTCAAAAAACTTTTTGGTTCCCTTTCATTCCTGCCACCAAGAAGCTACATTTATATTATAGCTTCCCCAGGAAAAGATCTACCCCTATAGTAGACTTATCTATACTAAAACCAGCAGTAGAATTCAACTTTAACTTTACATTAAGAAAAAATTGTGATATAAACAATACACATTGAGAAGCTTAGTGGTATACAGGTTTATTCTCACTGGTGGTCACTATCCTGTAATAGGTCAATTATCCCTGCAAGGCTCATGTTAAACATACTGTTCTAACATAATGCGTTGCATTTTTATCCTGCTGAGTTTTATTGTGCTTCTTAGCTCTAAGTAGCAACTTCTCCGTCAACAGATGTTTTCTCTGATAGTTCATTTTTGTCTTCTGTTATTACCACTAATGTTTTAGGAAAGTCTTGGCTGTAAATAATTGCCTGTGCATGGAAATATAAAAGGACACTGCTGAATAAAAGTTAAAGCCAATACAGCTCACGTAAGATTCTTACTATACATATTTCCTAGGAGAGTGGAGGTGCAAAATTATTACCTGAAAATGAACTTCCATTTTTAAAAAAATCTACTCAACTATGGGAAGCAAATTATTTACGTGGTTTTCTTTTTCACTGTGGAAACTGATTGCTTGAAATGACATTTAGTTTTCAAACACCACAAAAATTTTACTTGGTCATGTGCTTTCCTCATCATGAGCATTGGAAACAATTTTTTTTTTTAAAAAAAGGCTTTAATATTAAAATTGTGTATGGCAATTTGTAGTGCAATATTACAGTATTGCTAAAAAATTATCAATTGCAGTATGCTAAACATATTCTATGATGTGCATTAATTTCTTAAGAGATCGACAAATACTATTAGTGTCCCAGAATCCTAAGCACCAAACAGTAACAAAAGCAGCCATCATATTTTTAATAATACTAATACAGACATTACAATTATGAATAAAGCATTAATTTATCTCTGAGGACTCTGAATTGGCAGTGATACATCAATCAACATAGTAACATCCTGAAAACCTACAAAATCCATCATTCAGATAACTTGAAGGGTTTAAAAAATTGATGTGTTTTCCTGACATCTCTTTAAAGAAAATGTTCTTTCTCTTATTTTTACAGACAGGGAAATGAAGACACAGAGACACTAAGTGACCAGTGCAAGTCTATTTCCGGATTCAAAAGTAACTCAGATTTTACAGTTTTTTTTCCTGTTCTTTATTAATCATAAAAATAAATGTCTCTTCTGAAGGGAACTGTAAGATTTATTTTAAAATAATTCCTAAGGAACTGCTCAAATTGTTCTTTCATTTCCTGGTTTAGCTGCCATTTCCCTTTCTTACCTTATTTTTAAATAGTAGCAGAGAAGTCATTTTCACTGACCTTAAAAACTTTGCATCATGCCTTGCATGTTTATATGCCAGGATTTAGAAATGTGAGTAAAAAGAAGCAGGTAAGAGTGTGCATTACTTTGAATGCCTAAGTTTAAATTTGTGACAACTATGACCCACTGATGACCTCTAAAATATAACTTTTCCACTGGACATACATATACTCATATACTTACAGAATCAACTAGGTTAAAAAAGACCTTTAAGATCATCAAGTCCAACCATTACCCCAGGACTGCCAAGATCACCACTCAGCCATATCTCTGACAGCCTCCTCCTCACAGTTTTTGAACATTTCAGTACATTCACACAAATACGACTCAGGTTGTAAGAAGTGTGCTTCCTTGCATAATTCCTATACCAACCTATCTCCTTTGAAGAAGTAGGTTTTCCCAACATCTTCCCACCAAATTGCTGAATCAATGCCATGGGAAGGAATTCCGCTTCCAAGAGTTATCAAATCATGAGGATAACCTGGTTGGAGAGTAGTGTCCTTGAAAACCCAGAACTTGTTACCTGTACAAAAGCATATATACACATACATATATGTGTGTTAGTCTTCAGTACTATCAGTATTAATATAGTACATACGGAAGAAATAAGAAAGACTCCCAAAGGGCTATAGTGGTTCTGCCAAACACAATTAAATGAAAAATGTTCTATCACTGCAGATAATGCAAAATTAAATATGCCTTACAAATATCTTGCATTTATAAATCACCTCTAATACAATAAGCCCACAGAGTATTTTGATATCAACTATATAGGGTTCAAACTCAGAATGAAAAAGAAATCATCTCAAGAGGCTCTGTGTCTGGTAATGTAATACATTTGCAGCAATAATACACAACAATTTTACATTCCTGAGGAGAAAAGAGTGAATTTTAAGACAAAATGAGGTAAGAAAGAATAGAAATAAATAAAAAATAGAAAATCCTAGCCTCATAGAGACCATATACTTTTATTACTCGGTATTCTCCTACTCCTCAAGAAATTAAATTACTCATGAAGGGTGTATATATTATTTCTGAAATGACCATAGAATTTAAAATATTTTTAATCATATTTTCTTTACTGTGGCCTAAAGATAAAACTGCAGTTCTGAAATCCCACGGCTGAAAACCTTGTGTTTCTGAAATTAATGGGGGTTGCCTTTAGTACCAGTGGTGGTAAGATTTAAACTTTGGTTGTCGGTGATGAATGATTCAAAACTATCCACTTGAATTTTTCATGCTGATAATACAATGTAATTGCATAACTCTTAGTACAGTGTCTACACAAACCTCAAGTTACCTGAACTGCCTTAAATCAAAATAATAACCTAGTGCCTCCTGGACAGCAATGCTCAGTGGTTGAAATCTTACTCTGCATTTACTAGCTAAATCTATCCTTTATATATGGGTATACATGTCTACAGAAGCAGCAATTGCACCAGTGTTTGGTAGTATACTCCCACCCCCTATACCTGTTTTTGGAGAGGATGCTTCCTGTGCTCTTTCTTGTAATTGGATAGCTTACCTCACCAGCCCACAACTCCAGTTTCCCAGCTTCAATTTGCTCTAGCTTCTTAGCCAGGCTCTTTTTCCTTACTGAACACTTCCACGATGATCTCACCTCATCTCATGTTAAACTTTTAGTCTAACATTTTCCTCAGTAATTGTGCCTCCCCTCCTATTCTTGCAACAATCTTCTCCTTTTTACATTTTTTGCTTTCTTCTAATTCTTCAAAATACACTTCTCACCTGTGTCTTTTCAGTAGAGACTTCTCTTTCAAACACAGACAACTTTGGCTGAAAAAAGGGAATAAAGATTCTCACATGCCCCCTAGAAATAGTGAAAAGGGAGCATAATTTGCATTTTAGTACTTATCTGAAGAGCTTCCTTTGAGGCCTGTTTTCCCTTTGCATTATGTCATCTAGGCTGCAGGGACACTTTCTGAGCTAGACTATTGGCTCCATTGTGCAGGAACCATGTGTTTTTTTGTTTTCAAAGCACTACCTTCACCTGTGTTTCCAAAAAAAAACATTGCTATTTTTAGTAATAATAACACTGAAGGAGAAGATACTCTGACATCATGTACATCTCCTGAGTCACATCACAGAAAGGTCTAGAGAAGATCCATGAACATAAATATTAAATCAGCCTATTGGATACTTCACTTTGGTCAATCCATTGTTATTCATGATGACCTTTAAAATATTAGGGAAAAAGTCTGAAAACATATTTTGTGCAAACATATTTGGAAAGAGATCCTAAGAGATAAAATCATAGCTGTTCACGTTAGCCATTGTACTTACGTGTCAGGCTAGGCAGGCTGGTACAAAGACTTAGGAGATTAAGACACTGTGCTGTATAAATATTTTAGAAGGAAATGTAATATTACCCCAAAGATCTAGGATCAGGTGTATGCCACCCACCAAGAGGGAAAATCTAGAGAGCTGTTTTGCAGTTGGTTTTATATTTTATCTATTCCTCAGTGGTATTAAATGTTTGTTTAAAGGAAGGGGTTTTTTAATCTCCCTGTTTGTGCTGTAGTGATTTAAAGCATGTTTACATATTACCACAGTTTTAATTTGGAGAGGAGATATAGCTTCAGTCCCTCCCATGCTGGGTTTCCAGACTAAATTTTTTATCAGCTTCTTTATAGCTGCTTGTCACCCACTTCCAAGCACAGACACAAGTCTGCTCAACAGATTCATCTTTCCCTCCCTGCCAGTTGAAGGAAGAAAGGATTCGGTGAATGAGTATGTGCAGAGCCATACTGAAAATAAAAGAGACACAGAGAATAATGAAGAACGGTCATGGAAAGCTGTGGTCTGTGTTGACTGGGGATTAAGGTCTATGCTAACACGACATTTACTTTTACTGAGATTCTTTACAAAATTCACTTCTAGGGTTTGATTATGACAGGGATGAGCATCTTCAGTCATTCACTGTCCTGCCTCCCATGTGGTTTATCCTTCTGCCAATTTACATGACCGGACACAGAAGGCTTCAGATGGCAATGGCAGTTTCAGACGCAATCATAAGAGAAGTCATGCGTTTTGGACCTTACCAGTTGGTACTTATGGTGTGAACAACAGATGGTATCCAGTGAATGATACTGAGCCAGCTCATTTCTATTTCAAAGATCATTCAAAATCACAGCTGTTGCACAGCATTGAGAGACATATGCTGGATGTATATAATGCCATTACCTTTCTCTGGGCTTCACAAGGAATAAAGCTAACAGCAATTGTTAAGAACAGATCATTATCAGCCATAACATTAACAAGATCAGGTCATACCAAAATAAGTAAGGGTTGAGCACACACCACTCAGCAGCACTGAGCCACATATTTGTTGCATATTCAAATATACTGAAGTAGAAGGAAAGTGAAGCTGTGGGAACACAAGACTTAAAAAACTAAATTCTTCACATAATTTCTTATTAAAAAGCAAATTCTTTCTGGTTAAATAATGAAAAGGTAAATTTAACTTTTATAGAGACAGTAGGGCATTGAGAGCTCTAATATATGGGAAAGATTTTATTGATTTGCGTTAGAAGACATGTTTAGTCTGCTGCAACTGCACTGACTTAATGGGAAGGACTGTATATAAGAAACAAAAATGTTTTATCTGGCTGACAGTTATCACTTCAGGGTTTTTTGTTTATTTTTTTTCAGGGGGGTTTAGGTGGTTTGTTGTTGGTTTTGTTGTTTGATTTTGTTGGTTTTTTTCCTGTTTAGCTTCTATCCCTCAGCTGAAAGAATGTGGATGGCTGTTGGTCAGAGGATTTCCAAAAAACCAGAAAAGATGAGAAGCTTTCAAATTCACAACCAAATATTAGGAAGAGTTAAAGATGAAATTTAATGCAAATGATAATTTACTGTGATGAGAATAAGCTCCTTTTATTTCAAATTATATTTACGTATCTTAAAATGCACTAAAACCGAATTCTTAAGACAGCATGCTCATATTCCACTTCCACTAGTAAAAATTCAGTACACTTCATTAATTGTGTTTATAATGGAAATAAAAAATATATGGCAAAACTAGAACAGTTATAGTTTGATCCTTTTTATAGATAACTGATGCCTTTCCAGAGTCCTAACCTATGTGCTTGGCAGAAATCACCACTGTTCCCACAATATTGTTCTTTAAAGTCTAGTTGACAGGTTGTTACTCTCACAAAGAATAAAGCACCACATGTTTCATGAAGTCTGGCCAATCTTCAGAATGTTTCATCTCTCTGCTTTTATTCCCCAATGTAAGATCTAATATAATAACAAGCAGAATGATAGGGTCACAAGCTGGGAATGAAGCAAGTGATAAAAAAGTCAGAATGTCTCACTTTTTGAAATAATGCTTTGTTAAATACCATCACTGCAGGGAAACAATTGAGAAGGATGAACTGTGATTGCAGTTATTTGCAGTTTCTCAACATCTATCTCTGACATTCAAAAAAAATTACTGGAAATAAAGAGTACGTGTACTGCTATGCTTTACTTAAAATATTGAATATTTAACTCCAGATGTTCTTTAGACTTTAGACTACCTACTGACTACTGCAAGCAGTTACGCAGATTTTAGCAATGGTAGTTCTTTCATAGAATCAGAATGCTGAACAGTTGTGCTCCTGGGTTGTCAGCAACCAAGTTTTTTGTTCATCTTAAGCACAATTATTATACGTGTATAGTGCAAGACCCATGTGGGATTTAGGATATAATCACTGCAAGTGTAACGATGATGAGACAAATTCTCAAAACTTTTAGGAATTATATTAAATTGAAACCAGTGAAAATTTTAATATCTAATTCTGAAGGTTGTTTTTTTTTTTTCTCCAGTCACCCTTGCTCTTAATTTTGGTCTTTCAAGCCAGGATCAAGTGTCTTCATATTAGTATCACCAAATTACTATTCATGCTTCCTTTTTTCTCATTCTCTATTTATTTCCCACATTAAGTTTCTGTCATTTCTCTGCTCCATAATCTGACAGCAGTATAGTAAATCTATTTTTTAAATGAAACTGTCAACAGTTGTGTAAGTGCAGCTGAAAGTTATGATGGTGGCACTGCTAGTATGAGTTTTATAGCAGCCTTTCTATTGCTACATTTGGTCTGCCATAACATTCAACAGTGCAGATGGCTTGACAATTTCATTTTTAGCACCACATAAATTCCCACAGGTACACAGAATAAATTTTATTGTTCACATTTTCCCATTAAAAAAAAAAAAAAAGAGAAAAAAGTATTTTTCTGGTGCCATCCTCTTATTATCATTCAGCATGGACACCAGCAATGAATAATGAAAGAATGTAAACATCTGTTTTTTTTATAACCAGCCATCCACCAGATTGTTATGTTTTTTACAAGCACTATGAGGCACAAGGTAGGCTAAGTATCTTAAGCCAGACGAAATGAGGAAGTGTCACTTTGCACTACAAGCATGCTAATGAATTTTTACAATTGTTTACCCTTCTGTAAATAAATACTAATATTTTTTAAAAAAGTTAAAATAGTAAAACTAAAAAAAATAAAACCAATGAAATTTTAAAAGCAAAGAAGACACTTGATCCAACAGTCTTGAAATGAATTCAGTTTGATTTTCTACAGACATAGAATGGTTTGGGCTGGAAAGGACCTTAAGATCATCTAGTTCCAACCCCCCTGCCATGGACATGGGGACATGGAGTGAAGACAGCATTTATTTGAAGATTTTTAAATAAAGTTTCCAAAACTTCTTCTCAAGTTATCATTAACATCCAATGTCCTGAAACATATAGCATCTTGAATCTTCAGTGTGTGCTGGAGAAACAGGTCAGTGTGTAAATATCCTCCCTTCAGAAAAGCCACTGCTTCTTCTGCAGATGCTCAAAGGAAGGCTCCAGGCACACCTTCCATCTCCATTGCCTTCTTTAACTCACTTTGGAAGCTTTTCTGCTAGTGTGAAACAGCCTCCTGTGACTGACTGACTTGAGGAGCAGTGACTACTCTCTGAGGAAGGCAAAGAAAGGAGTAAGCCAATCTACTCATCTGCAATTGCTACTAATTGCCACCTTGTTTCTCTTTGCATGCCTACACAGTTACAAGTACAGAATAAACAGTATTCTGTTAGGCAAGTGACAATTTTAAGATGCACTCAGGGTAGACCTTGTGAACAATCCTGGATTAAAACATTCTGTTTATCTCTTTAGAAATCCACAAATCTCATTTATTTTCAATAATCTATGCTCTATTTGATTTGTTTCAATCCTTGTCTTCAGGGTGCCAAACATAAAATTTGAAAGAACTAATTTAAATTATAAAACAGGTTTAGATCTTATTTAGATATTGGTTTTTATTAGCATTAGATTTTTCCTTCCTTTGTGTAAGCAGTTGGATTCATGATATTAGTAGACATCTTTACAGTAGTATAAATAGAGATTGATAAATGTATAAAAATACATTTAACATTTTTATAATGGGAGGTGTATTGTAAAATATGAACCGTATACAAATGATACAAGATGGCAGCTCTGCATAGTACATTTAGTTAGTAAACTTTGAAATTTTTATAGCTAATGTTTCTGCTGTGAGAAATGTAATTATTTTTAACTTGTGCTAATAAAAGCTATCAGTATAACTATCTGACATTACTCAACTAAGAATACTTAAGAAGCCCATGAGATCGTGAGTAAAGTGTTAGATGTTTTCTGAGAGAAGTTCATAGTGACATTATTCTAGTCCAAGGTCTGTGATGGCACTCACTTCATCATTTCTATTTTGTCTCTGAATGGCGGATGTAAATACTGGCTTAGGTACATGCTTTGTGAACACATCTGTATGCCAGACTTCAGATTTTAAACTCCTCCTAGAACTTACTTGGCTTGACCAGCTTTAGAGCAGTAAAGCATGCTACCTGGTAGCGTGCTCTACTGGCTCATCATCTTAGCAATAATCAGGTTGTGTATTTTTAGTACCTTTCGGAGGAAGACATATGCTTTTTTTCCAGGAAGATGTTTTGTGAGGGAACGGAAGAAATGAAACGGTGATTGTTATTTACAGTCTATTAATACAGACTTCTATAATCATGTTCTACAAGGCAGCCAAGATCTTTGGTTAACAGGAATTTTCAAGGACGCACATACGAAAAAACTGAGCTGAACCTACTGATTCTGTGGCAATGCAAAAGAACACAAATTACACTGACAGACAAACAGCTTCAGGTAGATACTGGAAATCATGAAGAGGAAGTACCAGAAAAGCAAAAATTCAGAAAAATTGCACAGGGAAATACAGTATTTTTGGTCTTGCTAAGAAATGGGACAATACAGATGTCACTGAAAAAATAATTGAAGGACTTTGAAAAGACAGCAAATGGAAAAATACCTGCAACAAAAAATCAGAGACCATAAGCTGGGAATGATGAGGAAGGAGAAGAACACAATATTCTGACTTCTAAGATCAAAATACTGCTGCCTCTGTTTGCTTTGATTAATCCTAATTATTTAATTTCCTGGGTAGAAAATAGAGAAGTTCTTTTATTTTTTTTTTCTATTATCTGTAACTTAGAGACTACTGAATCAATTCCTTCCTCTAAGACCTAAGAGGAGTCAGTCAGCACTGGGTGAAGAGTTAAATAATGATAAAATCTATTTTGATGTCACTGGGAAGGAAAAGAAAGCTGATAGAAGAATAAGGTTCACCATTTCTGTCTGAAATTCAGCATTATCGAGGTAGAGGTCTGCAATGCACAGAGTAGTTTCTTTGCTCTATGTAGCAGTGACGAGCAAAGAAATATCTACAGATTAATATTTGTATCCTCCCATGTCCCAGGTACCTTGATCATGATTCCCAATCTAAACTTCTCAGGGTTTATGATATGAATTTTATTTTATGGCAACAGAAGTAAAAGCACATGCTGTATTGAAGTAATGTAAATAAAAAATGTTCTATATGGAATGTAATTTCTCTTATGATCCACACATAAATGCAATTTCTCTATTAGTAAAACCATAAACTGCATCTTCACTGTACTGTTGTGCAGTGTTTCTGGATGTTATTAAACATTTTCAATTTAGCATTCCCAAGATGATAACATTTCCATAAGGAATGAATATTATTTCTATTTCCCTGTTAATGATTCCACTTGTAAAATATAATTAATTTTTGATATAACAACTTAAAAAAAATTACTTTTTTGTTGTAAGATAACAAATGAATCACAACACTAAATAGGTGAATAAGTTTTCACATATCCAGTTCTTTTATTCTTCTTCTAAATTATTATCTTATAAAACATACTTCATATGGTTTGCACCCTTTTGTTGTTAAATGGGTATTTATTTAACATACAGGATAATTTTCTTATTAGATCTAAGTTAGATTCATGTTCAAGAATTTTAATTTTGAAGAGCAGCTGATGGCTGGAGTGAAACTTTGAAAAGAATGATTAGCAACAATTTAATCCACACATTTTCTGCAGTTTGTTCCCTTAAAAATACTAAATATACATCTAAAGAAGATACTTATTTTTCCCATCTGAAAATCCTAACATCACAGTTCTCAGATTAATAAGTGCAGTACAGTGAGACATATATGTAGCAGAGATACCATTTAAATATATGCAGATTTCATTTGTAAAAAGGAAGAGCAAAGAGAACTACAATAACAAACAAACAAAAAAGATTGTGGTTTCATTCTTGCTTCCTAATCCACATTTTTCAAAAAGGATTTCATAGTAGATCACTGCATTGCTATGTCTCTTCTTTATAATTCCAAATTTAATTTTACTGAATATGTAAAGGGTAATCATAAACTAAAGCTGTAGTTGCCAAAATGAGATAACATAACTCATATAGTCATTGTTTTAAGAAGCTCATTTAAGCTAATGAATTGCAACATGATTTACAAATCATTAATAAAAATAAGCAAGACTTGTTCCAAGAAATCATCACAGCTGAAAGTATTACACAAAATTTAACTTTTCTTGTTTTCTTACCTTTAAAGAAGACAAAATTCCCCTCACTGTTTTCATAAACTGCATCAATGCTGGGAGGCAGTCCCCTCCAGAAGTAGGTAATCTGCATGGGGTATCCATCCATCACTCTGTTGTTTCTGACTCGCCAAAACCACTGATCCTGGAAACCAAATATACAACTCTTACTATACTTTGAGCATTTATATGTGTTCAGTTGCTTTCTTGAAAACACTGAACAACCTATCCTAGCAGTTTTAGAGCATGACCTTTTGCTGTTTACATAACCATATTTGTGCTTGCATCCATGTCACATCCACACATTAGGAGTATGTCGGAACTAGTTCCTTGAGTTGAAAATAAGCTACCCATGTGAACTATGTGTTTTGTGTAGATAGCCTTCAGCAGAACATAGAGCATGCTGTCTGAGATGATGTAACTTTCTCAGTATCATTCCTACAAGGGGCCCGACTTAAAATTTGTGGACTGACTACAAGTGCTCTTAGACCAAACCATATGCATATGTATAAGCCTAATATAATGGGACTACAGAGAAGTTTGAAGATCAACTAATTCCGCAAGCAATTTTTTTTTGCAGTGGCTGCTAATACTGAAAGTTTGATAGATACAGCTGTAATCCTATTACATCAGTCTGATAAGAACTACACTTTGATGACGACTTTAGTGAAGATTTGCAGTCTGTACATGTAATATTAAATACAGTGGTTAATATTGCAGCCAATTATAGGTGCTAAATCCAGTGTCCTGGTAAATCGCTCTAAGTTTATTGACATTCAAAATGGTTTCTCCTTGTGCGATATGCTATTGCTTTAAGTGAGAGTGATATGGAAGTTGCATTATTGAGGAATAAGGAATGTTCAAGTTAGAAATGAGTAATTGGGGCCTATAAGGATGTTGGGGAGGGACTCTTCATTAGGGACTGTAGTGGTAGGACAAAGGGTAATGGGTTTAAACTTAAACAGGGGAAGTTTAGATTAGATATAAGGAAGAAGTTCTTCACAGTGAGGGTGGTGAGGCACTGGAATAGGTTGCCCAAGGAAGTTGTGAATGCTCCAACCCTGGAGGTGTTCAAGGCCAGGCTGGACAGAGCCTTGGGCAACATAGTTTAGTGTGTGGTGTCCCTGCTCATGGCAGGGGCGTTGGAACTAGATGATCTTAAGGTTCTTTCCAACCCTAACTATTCTATGATTCTATGATTCTATGACTATATAACACATGAGGTAGGTGTTGATAAAGATGGTGGTGGTGTACCTCGTCAGCTCTTATAAAAGCAACAGTTCCAGTTCATCTAATATTTAGAGATGAAGGATGGGGTAAGCAAGTATTTAACTTTTCACACACATTTGCACATTTTTACAGCATTAATATTATATAAAACACAACTCCTTAATAAAGAAAGTGTTATTTTGTTAGATATGTCACAGCAGTTCAGCCTTCTTTCTGTACAGGTCAGCTTGCCAAGCAAAAGAGTTCTGTGCTCTTACGGGAACTGGCACAGTCTACAGAGAAGATTAGTATTTTGCAGGAGCAGGCTTATGTTGAACTATATTCATCATCTTTCTAAACCTGAGATCACCTCTTTCTCTAATTGTTTATCTTTCCAATGACCCAGCAATTTACAAATCTTTGAAAAAAGCATTAGCCATACAAATACAAAGCAGCTCAATATATATACAAAAATATATCTTAATCATGTCCATAAATAAGTCTAAAATTGAAAGAGTTTTTTTGAGTCCCAGAAAAAATTTCAAATAGCTTACACAACCTGCAAAATACTACATTGAAAAGTTGCAATTGTCTGGAAATAATACTACTAAAATCCTTCAAATTTTTTATGTCTAGCTATTTCATTGCTAGTGTAGATTAGATTAGATTCCTATTTGCAGCTTTTTTTTTTTTTTTTTTAATTGAAAAAAAAGGTATTATAACATTTAAGGAAGATCAGCAAAGCAATTTTTTAGGATTAATTGACTAAATTCCACTAAAAGAACTGGCAAAAGTGGGGAGATACACCTTAGAGATATAAATATTTAGGAAGGCCTCACTGAAGCATGTGTTTTGAATGCTGGGACAGATAATGTCAATACTGTAAATAAGACAAGAGGGTTTTGAAAAATTAAGATCAGGGAGAATATCCTCAGAGCAGATATCTGGAAGTATTTTTTTATTTAAACAGTAATAAATGCTTGAAATGGATAAATGGATTTTCAGGTCAGATTTTTTAGGCATCCTCAATCTAGAAATTACTTTAGGAAGAAATGATGTAATGATAAGTCTCAATAGGCCAAATAGTTCCTTGCTGTCCCTGTCCCACCCTCCCCCATTTTTCTACAAAACTTTCAAAAGCCAGGATGTATCTCACAGTTTGCGGTATCTGTTACTATCTTCAGGGCAATGGAATATTCCAATCTTGTCTTTCTTCACTCCAGGATAGAGAAAAGCTTTTTATTTGTCTGAATTTAGTTGCAAAAGCACATCTTAGAAAACAATGTTTAGTTGCAGGAAAGAACATATACAGCTCTCATAAAATGTCCACCAACTCAGAAGGCCACTGATCAAATTGTGAGTACAAAATAAGCAAGATCTTTAAAGCTGAACAAAGACTTACTACTTAGCTGATTACAAAAGGACATCTGTATCCATATAATCACTTCACTGAATAGAGGTCGTAAATGAAATGTTCAGGCTTTCACGAGTTTCCCAATACAACATGCATACTCTGGACATCAGTGCTATAGACAAAACTTAGAATGTTCTAGGTAGGCTAATGAATCTCAACTTTCAGCTAGTACACCAAAGCAGATGTTGCAAATCACATTAATGTGTTTCAAGAGAAGCAGAATTAGACAGGAGTAATCTTCTACACTGTTACATATTCAATCAATTCCACTAACTTAAAACAAAATCAAAACAGCAACAATAAAACCCCCCACTTTAAATTGGAGTCATGGCTATATTCGATAATTCACAAATGTCCAAGTGTTAGAACTTGTGGCTGGAATAGCAAGAAGTCATTTTAGTTTGTCAGCACTGCACTGCTGATTGGCTGGTACTATCCCATCATGGTGATTTCTGGTATAATATCGAAGTGTCAGTGGAATGACCTCGGCAAAAAGACTAAACATGCATTCTTGAAAAATACTGACTCTGTAAGGAACACATTTCACAGTGCAACAAAACCTGTAAAATCAACAAGTCAACAAAGATCCTTTTATTAAGAATGAGTTATGTTTCAGCCTTAGTGATTTGTGGAACATACTTGCATTAATTCATTTTGATAACAAGACCAGTAAAGTTAAATTCTGCAGATTTGGTATTGAATTGTATGTCCAACTGTGTATTTCATACTTAATATTAGCTATTTGCACCATAATAATGAGACTCTTATTTTTTTTCCCCTCAAAATCCTTGACAAAGCAATAATTTGCCCAGCTATACCATAATTAAAATCTTCACAATAATACAATTATAGCAAAGCTGGAATGTTTGATTCATGAGCATAACCCCAGGAATTTGTTTTGAAAGAGAGAAAGAGAGAGGAAGAGTTATATCAATATTATGTATCCATAAGCTTTCAACAAAAAATAAGTTAAGGTACCTGACAAGAAATTCATTCAACAGGGTGTTCCTGTATGTGTATATATATATATATCCATCCTGGACTGGCACAGGCTTTTTCACTTGAGACCGATTATAGAAGATCCCCACTCT